AGGCGAAACCTGTGTCAAACTCTGCTATACCGTAGTAGCGATGGCCCCAGGAGCAGGAGAGAGTCGCGGAAACGACGACCATGTTAAGCGAAAGAATATTCGGTCTCAACGGCAAATAGCGTGCCTTGCGGTGAACCACAGTCAAATATTGGCGGCCGGCTGCTTGAACACAAACGGCCGCGGACAAACGCTCGTTACCTCTCTCTCGCCTTTGCACAGCCTCCTTTAGAGTCCTGGGCCCTAGGCCCCAGGAAATGAAATCCTGGACTAAGAAAAAGGAATCGGGATCTCTAGGGGTCCACGTCCTGCGGGACGGTTCTCGAATCTGATCGGACCGCGACGACACGTGTCTGAAAATGTTCAGCATCTGAATGCCCTTTCCAGGCCCCAGAATGAAACACTAAGCCTTGGGTAAGGGTCTGACGCAACTGTGTCCACGTCAGAACAATTGCAACGTCGGCAAAGACGGGGAGGAAGGTCCTCCACAGTACTCCCCGTTCTTCTCTCCTCCTTCCTCATCTGCCACACGCCCATGTTTCTCGCGTGGGGGGGGAATGCAGGAACGCACATGGGAGCAGGAGGAGCTGCAGAAAAAGGAGTCGGAGCAGGATCGCAGGCGACAAACAACACATCTCGAACGAGCCAGCGGCCCCGGCCTACGCCCACACGCCCTCCCACTGCATCAGCGGAACCAACGTCAGCACAACCTACCCATTCCCTGGCTGCAGAACGCCGGGCGACTTTGCCTTGAGAACCCCCGGCGCGAGGCGACGCACTCGAAATCCTGAACGTTCTGGGACACCCCTCTGGGGACGCAGGAAAGGAGGGGCAGCAACACCCCTGGCAGCACCCAAGGAGGGCGAGGTCTTATTTGGACCTGCGCGTCGCGCAACCCAACTGAACACCCCACAAGACGGCGAGGCCTCACTTGGACCTGACTTTCGCGACAACTTGCTGAACCCCCACAGGAGGGGGGGGAGGGCAAGAGTGGGGGCAGAGGCACGCCTGGCAGCGAACAGGGAGGGCGAGACGTGAGAGAATGGGAGAAGGGAGGATGCAGTGAGAGGGTTGCATACGCGAAGAGGGAGCAGACGGAGGATACGGGAGGGAAGGTAGGAACAGCAGCGCGATGAACTCAATACAGGTAGTCTGTTTGCTGAACTGGGAATACTCACGCTCAATGCAAAGCAAATCGGAGAAACGCAATGGGGTGCCATTAGGTACCACGCAATTAAGCTCAGTGCAGTACAAAGCGTAGCACTGCACAGCAGAGCATCATGTAATTAAGGCAAGCCGGCAATACACTGACTAGAAGTGCATGGTTTAGCATAGCGCAGCATCAAACAACCTGGGATTGCATGACCAACCATGGCGTCGCAGAAAAACACAACATGACATAACACAACATTGCAAGAAATACCGTAACATGAATATCCACAACCGTGCCCTGGCACGTAGTGGAATGATCTCAGGTCCCTTCGAGTCCTGTTTATTGTAGTGGCCCACGGATCATGGCAAATTGCAGGCGCTCGTGGTTGGTTGCTACCAGGGCGCAGTCACGTTACTTCTCCAGAGGCCAGACAACGCACAGTCGGCCCAAGAGAGGGTCCTGAGAGGCCTTCAGGACTGTCCAAGAGGGCCCCAAGACGGCTCAAGAGCGCTCCAAGACGCCCAAGATGGTCTCACAGCGACCCAAAGGGCTTCCAAAATGCCCCAAAGTGCTCCAAGAGGGTTCAGGATAGGACCACAAGAGGTACAAACCATAAATATCCAAGATTAGTTTGATAGATTGTAGCGGTCTCATCGTGCTGGATTTCTAACGCTCCAAGACGGCCTAAGAGGCGTCGAAGCTCGCCTCAAGACGGCCCACCAAGCTCCCAAGACTGGGCCAAGACGGCCCAAGGGGGCCCACATGTTGGCCAAGGAGCCCCTAAAACAACGCAGAGGAGCTCCAAGAGGACCGTAAGAGGGGCCAAAGAGGGAGACCACAAACTAACATTTCGAGCCCGCCGACCCAAGATGACCCCGAGACCGCCACCAGGCCCCCAAGAGGTTATCAAGAAGACTGAGGAAGCCCCCAACAGGACCAACAGATGCCCACAGAGGCTCCTGGGAGGCCACAACACATTCCAACATCGCCTCCATGAAGCTTCAAATAAGCCCCCCAAAACGATCGTAATAGGCTCTGACCTATCACCCGAGTGCCATGACGGGATGGACCGAAGGCCACTCCACCATCGCATAGCACTGTACTAGCATAGCATAGCAAGACATTTGCGCAAGTAGCCTGCCTACAAATCAAACAAAAAACAGCCTGCAAAGTACGCCAGGCATCATTTACCCTTGCAGAACAAGTGTGAGCCCTTAATCTCAACAGCTCTGTAGGGCGTGAGTAGCTCAAACATTCGTTCCGCATACCTTCACATCCAGATGCATGCGCAGTGCTTATACACATTTACTATGCGAAAATGTATTCAATTGATCTTGACGCCAAGCTCGAAAGGCTCCTGCAAAACTCTGTGTTGGACACTTTCGACGGGCCGAACACTCATCCAAAGACCCCTGCTCGTAGCATGCGAAGCCCGGGTACCCCAATTGGTAAACACATCAATTCATCCACTGATGCGCACCAAGGCCCAGCAGATACAACACATCGTATCCACAGCCCGCTTCAGGAGATGGGCGACGTGGATCGCAAAGAACGCGCGCGTTAACTCCACCGACAAGCAGGCCGATTTGCTGAGCGAGCTTGACGATGTTGAGTGGGGCGTTGTCTGCTGGAGCGAAAACAGGACACCATCCATCTGACCAGGATTTGTCTGGATGCAATGGTTTCATTCCCTACCTAGTCTCTGCTTAGAAAGGTTCTTACTCTCTTGGCTGAAAGGGGCCGGGCTGTGGAAAGCGCCCCAGGCGGTTCCCCCAGTATCCGCCCCGCGGTTCCCCTAGTTGCGCCCCTGGGTTCACCCAGATTAGCTTAGCTTAGCTTAGCTAAGCTTAGCTTAGCGTGTCACATCTTAGCTTAGCTTAGCTTTGCTCTAGCTTAGCTTAGCTTAGCTTAGCCTAGCCTAGCCTAGCTTAGCTTAGCTTAGCTTGGCTTAGCGTAGTTTAGCTGGGCTTAGCCTAGCTTAGCTTAGCTTAGCATAGTTTACGCTTACCTTAGCTTAGCGTAGCATCGCGCAGCGCAGCTTTAGCACAGCATAGCATAGCATATCATAGCCAAGCATAGCATAGCATGGCATAGCACAACATAGCATAGCATAGCAAAGCAAAAGCAAAGGTAAAAGCAAAGGCAAGAGCAAACGCAAAGGCAATGCAAAGCAAAAGCGAAACCAATGCGAACGTGTAGATGTAGATGTAGACGTAGGTGTAGGTGTAGATGTGGATGTAGGTGTAGGTGTAGATGTAGGTGTAGATGTAGATGTAGATGTGAGTCTCGCTGTTGATGTTGATGTAGATGTAGATGCAGGTGTAGATGTAAATGTAGCTGTCGGTGTAGATGTAGATGTTGCTTTCCTAAATGCTCCAACTCCTAGGTAGGGTCGCACTGGGATAATTTCTGTGTTGTCCGAGAACAGATTTGCAGGGGTAGCAATCTGGCTTCATCACCGGCGTGCCGATTCAGTGGCAAGCACGCGCGCATATGGATGGAAAGTTCTTGCTGTCGACTTCAATGCAGGACTTGGGCTACCAATAATTAGTGTATATGTGCATCATGCCAGACATGGTCATGATAACTTGCTCGCTTGCTGCCAGCCCTTGTCCAAGGAGATCGATATGGCAAGGCGTGCAGGCCGCAAAGTATTATTCGAGGGGACTTCAACACTCAGCTTGATGCTGGTGTCAGGGGTGAGGTTTGAGCAAATTTGTTCAATGAGAACTCTTTGGCCGTGGCAAATGCTAAGGGTGATTTGCATGATTCCGTGCACACTTGATGGACGTTCTGTTCTGCTCTTGAGGCGAAGCGGCGCATTGATTTTATTCCCTACCTAGGCTCTGCCTGGAAGGGTTCTTATTCTGTAGCCTAAAGGGGCCGGGCAGTGCACCCCGCCCCGGGCGGTTCCCCCAGTCCCCTGGGAGCCAAGCAAAAGCAACAGCAAAGGTAAAATCAAACGCGTGGTTCCCCCAGTTGCGCTCCCTGGGTGCCAAGCAAAAGCAAAAGCAAAGGCAAAAGTGAAGGCAAAAGCAAAGGCAAAGCAAACACATGGCATAGCATAGCATAGCATAACATAGCGTAGCATAGCGCAGCATAGCATAGCATAGCATAGCCTAGCCTAGCCTAGCCCAGCATAGCATTGCGCAGCATAGCATAGCATAGCATAGCCTAGCCTAGCATAGCATAGCTCAGCACAGCATCCACTATTGCTGCTGCAAATCCAATGCGAAAGTGTAGATGTAGATGTAGATGTAGATGTAGGTGTAGATGTGGATGTAGATGTAGGTGTAGATGTAGACGAAGGTGTAGATGTAGGTGTAGATGTAGATGTAGATGTGAGTATCGCTGTTGATGTAGATGTAGATGTAGATGCAGGTGTATATGAAGATGTAGCTGTAGGAGTAGATGTAGATGTAGGTCTAGATGTAGATGTAGGTGTAGATATATATATGATATAGATGTAGATGTAACGAACTCCCCAGTGCCCCGCCCTCATCTCCGTGCCTGCTTGCTTTTGCTGCTGTCTCGGCGACTTGCTGCCTGCTTCTGCTGCTGCTTCACTTATGGCGTCGCGTCGGCGGTTCTGGCGCTACTACTACTACTACTACTTCTACTTCTACTACTACTACTACTACTACTACTACTACTACTACTACTACTACTACAACTACTGCTGCTGCTACAACTACGACGATGAGGAGAAGGAGGAGGACGGCGTTTACCGCTCCTACCAATGTTGCTTTCCTAGGGGCTCCAACTCCTAGGTAGGGTCGCACTGGGATAATTGTTCTGGAGTCCGGCCTGATTTACTCCCAATGCCAAACGCTATCTAGACACGGGTTCTGACCACGGCGCTGTAATGGCGAGCATGCTGATTTTGTAGAGACAGACAGGGTTCAGGCATGCGTCGTAAGAAGGCCAGCAATTGGAAGCCACAGCTCGACCGAGATGGGCGCGACTGTGGACTTGCGACCGCCGTCCAGCAGCATCTGGACACCTGCCCCGCCATGTGCCTCCCAAAAGTGGAGGCCGCGCTGTCCAAGGCGATTTGCGATAGGGCTGATTGTGCAGAGGTTCCAACCCATCCTTGTAAAGACCTAGGACTGCGAGCTTTGCGGCTCAGACGCTGCGATACCGCCGGAAAAAATAACATGCTGGTTTGTCAAAAACGATCAGCAGGCTGCACAGGAAGGGCTTGCGCCCTGTCTGCAACAAGAAGATGTCTGACCATCTGGATTGATTTGCTGGCATGACACACATACCTGGCAATTCACATGCAGAACTCCCGGAGATGTCCTATCGCTGCAAATGAATGTCGGGAATATTTGGAACACGTTTTCTTAACAGTTCACGGGCTGCACGTGCGCACTGGCTCCACACGCATAGCAACAAAGGTTGTTACAGCATCGAACCATTCACAATGATCGAGCTGCAATCTGCACTACGGATAACGAAGAAGGGCAAATGCGCAGACAAGGATGACATCACCCTCGAGATGCTTTTACATGGTGGCGACAGGCTATTGGGATGTCTTTTGCTTGGTTTCAACAACATTCTCCAAACGGGGTCCTCGAACCCTGCTGGCACGAGACCTTGTTCACGATGCTTCATAAGAGCGGCCCGCGGAAGGACTTCAAGAATGGGAGGCCGATCGCTTTGCTGAAAATGACGTACAACATTTTCTCCAGGCTCATCATTGGACGCATTCAACCAACGCTCGATTCTAAGCAGGCCGCTGATCAGGCCGGCTTTCGGCCAATTAGGTCGGTCGACGATGCTTCCGTGGCCCTTGAAGAAGTCTGCGGCAAATCCTGGAAGTGGGGCCGAAGCATTTGGATGGTCAGCGTGGACCTTACCAAGGCGTTCGATAGAATCGAACACCCGGCACTGTTCGAGGCCCTACTGTCTCAAGGCGCTCATTCTGCGTGTCTTGGTCTGTTCTCCGATGTTTGTTCTGGCCAGTATGGGGCCGTCCACGGCAATAAGCACTTCGGCATCAGCCCGTGGGTCAAGCAGAGGGACGTTTTCAACTCGCTCCATTTCAACGCAGGTCTTGAACAAGCCCTGCGTCGACTCAAAGACCGCGTCAAAGGCATGGGGCTCGACCTCAGGGCGGTTGAGCTGCTGACCAACGTGTGCTATGCTGAAAAACATATTTGTTTACAGCACTTCTCCGCAATCTGTTTCGCGCATGCGTGCCAGTCTCCGCCAAGAATTGCTCCAGAACGGTCTAGAGCTGAATGTGAGCAAGACCAAAACGGTTACAAATGTCCCTGATACTGCTGCACTCGAGGAACCAATGCTACTCGGAGTGGGTTATTGCAGTTTGCCGGTAATGTTGAAAAACAGACCTGCACAAAAACATGGGGAAGCGCTTCCACGGAGATCTCCGAGAACGTGGCTCGCGCAATCAAAAATACCGGATGCAGTGTGCACACGGTCCAAGTGGCAATTGTTCAAGACAACGTTCATCAACACACGCGTCTCGCTGAAGATGCGCTTGAAATAACTCGACGGCGTCGTCACGCCGACAGCCGTGCACAGTCTGGTCACAACACCGCTGACGAAACGACAGAGAGTAAGAGTATCCAGTATCAGGGCACACGTGTTACGACGTATTGCAAGGCTGATCACGAGTCTTGGGAGCAGGCTTGGCGTCAATGTAAGCGCATAGTAGAACGAGCAAAGACTATTGACAGAGTCCCAGACTGGCTCGAGGTAGTGGACACTAATCGTTGAATACTCATGTGTAAAATCTGCGCCGAGAGGCACGGGTAGAGATCTCTAGCTTTGCGCTGACGTTCAGATGGTTCGAGTAGAATCGGCCGTCCGAGAACGAAGTGGACCGATTCAATAGACCATTTCTTCCGAGGTCGCTTCAATACCAGCTTGGAGCGTGTTTCGCACGACGCTCCTGGTAGGTTGGCGAAATATATTATGCTTGAGTATTTATTTGTCGCACGTGCGAGCATTTGTGTAGCAATGTGCTAAATCAATTGTTGCATGTTTCCGTTGCGTGTGTTCCTCTTTATGCAGGAAGCACGCCGTCCCCCAAAGCGGGACGAGACGTCCTTGGGCGTTCGGTCGGACTTTCGCGTTCTTCTTCCATCTTTCCCTTCTTCCCCTTCGGGGAGGGGTTTACCATTGTTCCCTATTAGTGTACACCCCTTCCCCCAGGCGACTGGCAGCCAACCAGGAACAGTGAGGACCCCACGAGGGCCACACACCCCACCATCCAATACAAAACACGCTCTGACCCCCCCTCTCCCCAACCCCCCCCCCTCCTCCCGAAAGGGGGTGATCCGACCCCCTCCCCCGCCAGGGGGGGCGGGGTGCCGGCGCTTGCGGCGGCCAGCAGCGCCGACGGCGGGGACGCAGCGACGATGACCAGAGAGGGCCAAGAGGCCGCAGAGGGGAACACACAAATCGCCATATCGAGCCCGCGCCCCCAAAAGCCACCGGTAGGCTCGCATAAAGGTCCAAGAGGCTTCTGGCGAGGCCTCAAGAGGCATCCATTAGAACCCTGACCCAAAGCCAGAACACGGTGGCGGGAAGACCCGAAGGCCCGACGTCACCACCACCACAAACCACCACACCACCAGCACCACCGCCACCACGACCACCACAACCACCACCATCACCACAAACCACTACACCACCGCCACCACCTCAAACGCCACCACCACCACCATTACCCACAACAACCCACCACAACCACCACCGCCATCACCACAAACCACCACACGACCACCACCATCACCACCACCGCCACCACCACCGCCAACACAACACAGCACCACCACAACCACCACCACAAACCACCACACCACAACCACAAACCACCACCACCACCACCGCTACCGCCACTACCACCACCACCGAACACCACCACAACCACCACCACCACCAACCACCACACAACCACCACCACCACAGCCAACTCCACCACCACCACCACCACAACAACCCACCACCACTACCACCACCACCACAATCCACCACAGCACCACCTCCACAGCCAGCACCACCACCGCCACAACCACCACCACTAACACCAAGACCCACCATCACCACCACAATCCACCAACACCACCACCACAACCCACCACAACCCACCACAAACCACCACAAACCACCACACCACCACAACACCACAAACAACCACACAACCACGTCCACCACCACCACCACGAACGACAACACCACCACCACCGCAACCACCACCACCGCCACCACCACAACCACCACAACCACCACGACACACCACAACCACCACGATCACCACAAACCACCACACCGCCACCACCACCACAAACAAACGCCACCACCACCATTACCCACCACAACCCACCACAACCACCACACCCCAAACCACCACACCACCACCACCACCACCACACAACCACCATCACCACCACAACCCACCACCACCACAAATCACTACACGACCGCCACCACCACCACAAACACCACCACCAGCACCATCCACAACCAGCACCACCACCACTACCACCACCGCAGCCCACCACCACAATACCCAAAACCGCGTCGAACCACCACGCCACCAGCACCACCGCCGCCACCACCAATACCACCAACACCACGTCAGCCCACTACCACCACCACAAACACCCACACAACCACCACCACCACAGCCACACCACCACCACAACGACCCACCACCACCACCACCGAAACAACGCACAATCACCACCACCACCAGTCCACCCCACCACCACTACACAACCACCACCGCAACTACCACCACAAACCACCACACCACCAGCACCACCACCACCACAAACCACCACACAACCACCACCACCACCACCACCGCCACAAACCACTTCGTCACAACCACCACAACCTAGTACCACCACCAAAAACAACAACACCACAAACCACCACACCACCACCACCACCACCGCCACCATCACCACCACCACAACCCACCACCACCGCCACAACCACCACCAAAAATCACCACGCCACCTCCTCCACCACCACAACCACCCACCACCACAACCACCCACCACCACCACAACCACAACCACAACAAACCACCACACCACCACCAGCACCACAATCCACCATCACCACCACCACCACGACTGGCACCACCACCGCCACCACAACACACAACCACCACCACAAACCACCACACCACCTCGACCGCCACCTCCACCGCCACCTCCACCACCCACCAACACGATCACCACAACCGCAACAAACCACCACACCACCACCACCACAACCGCCACCAGCGCCACCAGCACCACCACCACATCCCACCACCACCACCACCACAACCACCACCACCACCAGCACGATCACCACGACAAACCACAACTCCACCACCGCCACCACCATTACCACAACCCACCATCACCACAACTACCACCACCACCACTTACGCGACCGAGGAACCCCACGTAGTTATATGATGCCTGAAGTGATGATACCTATACGACCACCCTGCGGGTGATAAGGAGGTTGGGGGGGGGGCAGAAATGGGCAACAGTGGTGAATGTTGTTGTGACAATGCCAGTGGAGATAGTTGCGTTGCCGCTCGCTCTTGGAGGCGTTGGTGTCGAGTTGTTTACGTCACCCTTCCCCTGGGAACCTGCCCAACCTGCGCAACGGCAGCTAACGGCGCCATTTGGCCACAGAAGACTGAAGCGCTGGCAAAGCTTGGCGCAGCCCGCGCCGCCTCTTGCACTATCGATCTCAGTATCGATCTCTCTATCGGTCTCACTCAATCGAACTCGCTATCATGGCCCCCAAGACCCTCGAAGGATGAGGAAGCTGATATGGGGAGGAGGAGGAGGGAAAAGGAGAGGTCCAGAACCGAGGGGTGCGTGGTGGAGGAGAACCTGAGAGAAGACCTCATTCGATGTCTCATTCGGTCTCACTACCGATCTCACAATCGATATCACTATCGACGTTGTCATCATCATCATCATCATCATCATCATCGATATCACCATTAACATCATCATCATCATCGTCATCATCATCAGCATCATCAGCATCATCATCATCATCATCAGCATCATCATCATCATCATCATCATCATCAACGTCGTCATCATCATCACAATCATTATCACCATCATGGCCATCATCACCGTCAGCATCGCACAATCGATCTCACATGCGGTCTCACTATCGATATCCCAATCGATCTGACAATCGACGTCATCAGCATCATCATCATCATCATCATCATCATCATGATCATCATCATCACCATCACCATCACCATCATCATCATCATCATCATCATCATCATCATCATCATCGCCATCATCGATATCATCATCATCATCATCATCATCATCATCATCATCATTATCATCATCATCATCATTACCATCATCATCATCATCATCATCATCATCACCATCACCATCATCATCATCATCATCATCATCATCATCATCATCATCATCATCATCATCATCATCATAATCATCCACGTCATCATCGGGACACCGACGGGACACCGAAGGGACACCAGCGGGACACCGGCGGGACACCGCGCGGCACCTGCCGCCCGGTCAAGGTTCTTTTGCCCCGGCCGCGCCTCAGCCACACGGGACACCAGCGGGACACCGGCGGGACACCGCGGGGCACCGGCCGCCCGGTCAAGGTTCTTTTGCTCCGGCCGCGCCTCAGCCACAGGAGACTTTCTCTCGCCCGCCCACGCAGCTTCGCCTCGCCCGCACCGCACGCGCGAACACGAAACCGAAATCGATTTCCCGGTAGGGGGGCTCTCCGTTCCACTTCGATCTCACCCCCCAACCTCCGACCTGAAGTGAAACACACGAAAATAATGCCTGTGGCCGTTGCCCCGCCGATCGCCGTTGGTGACGCCGGTCAAGCCTTGGGAAACTGAAGCGCCGTGCGAACATCAACCTGAGCCATGGCGACCACAGAAGAGAGCGGGCCTGAGGTAGGCAGGCGGACGGCGCACGAGTCTCGGCGCGGTGGGCAGGCGGACGGCGCACGCAGCGGTGAGGGACCACCCCTTGGGCATCTCCTGTGGTGTCCAGAGAGTTCCACGCCTGCTGTGCATGGACGGCTGGGGCGGTATAGACACCGCGGTGGGGGACCAACCTCCTGCGCTTTTCCTACGGTGGCGAGAAAGTGCCACGCTGGCCGTGCATGGACGACTAGGGCGTATAGGCACCGCGATGAGAGACGCCCCCATGCGCACTCCCTATGGTGTCGAGAAAGTGTCACGCCTGCTGCGCATGGACGACTAGGCGTATAGACACCGCGGTGAGAGACCCCCCCCCTGCGCTTTCCCTGCGGTTTCGAGGAAGTGCCACGCCTGCCACGATTGCAGCCCGAAAAGAATAGGGAGACCGCCCCCAGCGCACCCCCTTGTGGTGTCGACGACCCCGAAACGGATAAGGACACCACCATCACCGCACCCCGTGTGGCGTCGAGGAAACTCACGCTTGTCATGCTTTGCGAACCCGAAACGGATAGGGGGACCCCCCCCCCCCGCACCCCCTGTGGTGTCGAAAAAATGCCACGCCTGCCACGCTTTGCGGGCCAGAAACAGAGGATAGGGGGACCACCCCCAGCGCACCCCCGTGGTGTCGAGGAGGTGCCACGCCTGCCACGCTTTGCGGGCCCGAAACGAATAGGGAGACCACCCCCACCTCACCCCCTGTGGGGGCGAGGAAGTGCCACGCCTGTCACGGCTTGCGAGCCCGAAACGGATAGGGACCCCCCCCCCCGCACCCCCTGTGGTGTCGAGGAACTGCCACGCCTGCCACGCTTTGCGGGCCAGAAACGGAGGATAGGGGGACCACCCCCAGCGCACGCCCTGTGGTGTCGAGGAACTGCCACGCCTGCCACGCGCTGCAAACCCGAAGCGAATAGGGAGAGCACCC